TCAATTCAAAGCATACTTAATAGGAAATTGCAGGGAACACGTACTTGGAGCCCTCAAATTTAAAAATTTGGACAGTGGACTAGGCTCCAAGCACACACATACAGCCAAACATTCACACGCATATATAATCGAACATCCACCCCACACTTAAGCACGACATTATCCTCAAGGGGTAGAACGAAGTTACCATATCAAGTATATATGATGGTGGACGGGGCAGGCGCTGCATTCCAGGAGGAGAGAGTAGTCGGAACATAAACACCATACAAAATCTCACAAAGGTTGAGTTATTGACTCTAAAATCAAAGAACAAAACTGACTCAACCGAGGATAAATAGGGAAAGAAATGCAAATCGACTAGTTGGGTTGCCTCCCAACAAGCGCTTCTTTCACGTCATGAGTCGGACGATGGCTCTTAACTTTCGGTCCACCCCAAAACCTCTTTGAGGTTGAGGTTCTCATAGATGAGGTGGAGTATCAAGTCACGAGCATGTGGTATGACAGGTGATGAAGGCTCGTGCAATTGATGCATATGAAGTCTCCATCCTCGATACCTCTCTTCTCTTCTCTCGTCTCATTGCCCACAACTAGATATACCAGCATCAACTGACCACCATCGCATCCACCAAGAGGGACCGATGTCGATGTGGCCTTGGTCGGGTAAAGAGACACTGCAAATGGGTCCTTGCCAAGCATCTCTTCGAAGTTTGGTGGAGATATTACTTGTAACATAGGGTCAGTGCAAGCCTCTTCCACCTCAACTTCGTCCTTAGCCTGGATGCCAATTGCTTCCTCAAGAACTTCCTCTAATTCACTTCCGTCATCCTCCACAACTTATTTCCTCGTCCTTTCTCGCTCTTCTTCTTCTAGCACTCATTGGAGAACAAGTCTCCAATAAATTTCTTTCATGAGATCATCTTGCATCTCCTTTCCATGCCCGCCTCTTCAAAGCTCAGTGTGGGATGTTTGAAGGTGTGGTTGGCTACGACAGGACATTTTTTTATCATGATCATCACGGGAGCTCTCCATGACAACTTCTGTCTGCTACACAATGTCATCGTAGCCTTCATTTTCCTCCTCCTCTTCTAGTATAGTATTAGAAGGGTGATCTTGAGCAGGCTGTGCATAAGATTTCTCAAGATCCTCGAGGCTCTTCTTAATGCTCAGAAGGATCTCATTTTTTCACGATAGGCCTGGGTACAAAGATCCATCTTGGAGTATGATCTCTCAGTGTCTCGAGCAAACTGCTCCACGAGAAGCCTCAATTCATAGTTTGGATCTAGCCGTGGAGTGTAGCATGGCTATGCAGAATGGCCCATGTAACTCCAGCTCCGATTGCCCTTCTGGTTGTGGGAGAAATTCTTCTCGATAAGGAGATTTTTCTTGAACTGACTAGGGGTCTGATTTTTCTTCGTAGTATGGGGGTTGGTACTAGAACCCTAATCCATAGTCTTCTCCTCATTGATTGCTCCAAGAAGTCTCGGGGTAATACCACTCGAATGGTAATGGATACCACCAATGGTTGGAGAAGCCATGAGGATCCATGATTCAGATATGCACCAACAAAAACAAAAACACCCAAGTGAAAAGCAAGGGTGGAAAAGAAAATAAAAACACTAAAGTAACAGACATCTGCCTTTCCTAATAACCTAGAAAGTCCCCGAGAACGGCGCCAAAAACTTGACTCGCTATGACACAACTCCTAACATTGGCCAAGTGTAACCAATGAAAGGGACTGCAGTATAGTGGCTCAAGTAATAAATATCGTACCCACGGGTCTCTAGAGTTACTATTACTCATCTTCAGTTCATTATCTAGCAAACCAGATTAAGATTGAAAAACTAAAACTACTCTAGCAAACTACAATTAAAGTTAGTCTAATTACAGGTTGTGAACTCACTTAGGTATGATTCCCCCTAGCCACTACTCAGTTTAATGATTGATGATCTCTAACCTATTTCACCTTTATTCACAATGCGGAGAATCCTTATCTAGATCTTGAATCTCAACTAAAGGAACAAGGCCCTCTTTAGTCCATTGCCAAGAGGGATGTATCCTTCTCTAGAACAACCCATCAAGGCATTCTGAACTAGATTCCCTCTATCGAATGAGGTTCTCAATCGATACAAAGCATTGAATCAAACCTCGACTAAAGCAATCGATCCAATACTATCAATCTATGGTGCTCTATTGACCTAATCAGGTATTCGCTCTCGTAGGATCAAAGCAAAATCAATAATCTCGACTAAAGCAGAATGGAATGATGAAAAAATGCAAAGATTGAATATGAAATCAAGATTATCAAGTAAGAGTACTCATAAAATTATCCAATCAAAGAAACATGGCTAGGGTTCCTCAAAACCTAAGTGAAGGGAAGTTACTCCATAGAGAAGAGAGAGACTGCAGTAAGAATCTTCAGATGATCAGTCTTCAAGTCTGAGCTAGTTCCTCGAGCTTCCAAGGCGAAGAAATTCTCCAATTCCACTCCAAGATTTCCCAAAGCCCTCTCTCTCTTTGGTTTGTCCCTTAGGTGTTTTGGGATTCAAAACCCAGCTGTCCCCTTTCAAAAATCGTAGAAAATAGACTTATAACCGAGCAGGGGCAGAAACACGGTCGAGAACACGGTCGTGTTTAGTACTGCCTGTGTTTTGGTCACGCTCGTGTTTTGAATCCCTTCAGCAGTCTTCACAAGAGAGGCTGGGCATAAAAAACACTAACAGGTGCCAGATGAAACACGGCTGTGTTTTTAGGGTAGTGTGCCCGTGTTTCTTCCGCCGAACCTATTCCCCTATATTCAATGCTTCATTTCTCCCTCGTCGGGACTCAGAATCAGTCATCGTTTGATCCCAGACGCTCGCAGTCTCGTCCTGTTTCTTTTCATGACAAGCTTGCATGATTCTTTGTCCATAAATGAGGTAGAAATCCATTCTTCTTCAGGTCATACCCGAGTTTCTTCTCCCGAATCGCCAATTGATCTCTGATTGACTTGAAACTTGCGCCTACGCTTCAGTTAATGTGCTAGGACCTGAAATATGAAAGAAAAACACAACCTAGCGTTAAATAGGCCAAAGAAGCGATAATGCAAGCTTAAAAAATCAAGAAGCAGAGGGGAAAACATGTGTAAATATCGAGTCATCATGATGATTCGGGCCTAAATGTACACATTTTACCCCTCATTTCTTATTCATTTAGCTTAGTATTTCATCGTTCCTTGACATATTTCACGCTAGGTTGTGTTTATTTTGATACATTTCAGGTCCTAGCATGGGTGGAAGGGTCGAGGACTAGTTTTGGGATAATTGGAGGTCAAAAATAACGAAAACCGAAGAAAACTCTGAAGTCACAGTTAAGTGTAGGCGTCTAGGAAACAGCCGCAATTCACAGCCGGGCAAGGTAGTTCACGGTCTCCTAAGACCATGAACTTCGACCACAAACCGTGAACACAGAGGCATCCAATGAGGTTCCTGAAGTTACTGACGACAAGGCAGTTCACTGTCTCTAAACCGTGAACTATGGCCATTGATCGTGAACCCAGGAAGCAAAGCGGTGCATTTTGGAGACGACAGAGTTCACAGACACGTTTAGGTGTTCACTGTCGTGAACTGGCCAACGCGTCCGTGAACTGATCACTTTCGGGCAAATATGAAGACAACAGTGGGGAGAGAGAAAAGGGGAACTGGTCTTCGGAGAGAAATTCAATTCCCTCTCTAGGGTTTGACCAAAAACACCAAAGGGGAGTTCTAGTGAGAGAGAGAGAGAGAGAGAGAGAGAGAGAGAGAGAGAGAGTGATAGAGTGATCTTGGAGCATCATTGGAGGCTTGGGTGGACAAGGATTCAAGCCTAGAAGAAGAAGAAGAAGAAGAAGAAGAAGAAGAAGAAGAAGAAGAAGAAGATCTTGAGCTCAAAGTTGTAATCCCTCTCTCTCTAGAAACTCACTCTTTTCTCTTGGGTGTTGTAGATCCCTAACTAATACTTTGTAATTAGTTGCTTAGATTGAATAATTCTGTTTGAGTTTGCATCAATTTGAATATCAAAGGTGTTTTCATGGTGATTGTGCTTAGTTGTGCTTTCCAAATCTTGTGTGCTTGCTAACCTAGATTAGAGGAAAACCACACATTTTTAGGTAGGCTTGACAAGCTTGGTTTTCCTGGGCACTTAGTGCCTACTATCTAGGCTAGAGATGAGCATCCCCTTTGACTCAAGTTTGCATCTAGGTTGGTTGTGATTAAGCCGCTCAAATTCCGATTTGAGGGAGAGACCTAGGCAATCGCTAGAGACCGAGTGAGAGGATCGATCCCGTGACAAATCGATCTCTAGTGAATCCATCCCGTGATAAATGGATCACTAGTTGCTCCTCCTATCGGTTCCCCTAAACTTGGTGAGTGGATCGATCCCGTGACAAATCGATTGCTAGTGATTTGATTTCGTGACAAATCGATTGCTAGTGATTTGATTTCGTGACAAATCGATCACTAGTTGCTCACCCCGCGGTTCACAACCACCTACGCTAGACGACTCCATTCAATCCAACGAGTCATGGTAGCTAGTTAGGGGGAAGCAACTCCCTGGTGAAGCTCCCTTAGTTAGAGTTTTCCTTTATTTACTTTTCTATTGCTTGTTTAGTTTGTATTTTTGTTAGTTTGAAAACCCAAAACCGTTTTGCTAGATAACAACTTGAGCGATTGAAGTAGGGGTACATGGACCGGCCTGGGTTGACAATTTAAATACTTGCTCTATACTGCACCCGACTAGAGTTTAAGAACTTGGCCTCTAGTCGGGATTAATTTGTGGTGTAGTTTCGGGCGAGTCATTCAAATTTGTGAATGATTACTAGTGGGGATTAATTTGGCCTCTATGGGAATTGCTAGCTGGTTGAGTTTGAGAAATTTTTGAATGATTACGCCTATTTTAGTGTACATTCAAATTTGTCTTATCAAATCGTAGTAAATAATATTTGCATGACTTTTTTATAAAATTTGGTGAAGGTTTGTGCTAGTTTTACAATTTATACCATCTTTCCAAGCAGATCACATTCTTTGTGCTTATTGTTGTATAAGTAGCAAATCCAAAACCTACTTTTATTCAAGAGGCTCCCTCTCTGTTTCTCTCTCTTTTCATTTGTCCGAAATCATTCCAGCGCCCTGCAAAATCCAACTCTCTCTCTCTCTCTGCTGCTGCTGCACAGTCCATTTTCTTCCTGCAACTGCCATCTTTCTTCTTCTTCTTCTTCTTCTTCTTCTTTCTCCCTTTTTCTGGATCCCAAAATTAACCCATAGGAAGAACTATGTATATGGAGTCAACCACTAGCTGCTTTGACCCCACAAGCTTCGACACGAACGAAGACCACCATGGCGACCTCTCACAACCTCTCCCGCCTCCGCCGGCCTCCATGCCTGCCGCCTCCTCCTCTGTCAACCACCAAAACAGCTTGGTGTTGGAATCCATGGGCGACCTCCCAAATTTCCAACACCACCACCTTTCCCAGTCCCATACAGAGGACGACCCATCCTCCGCCGCTGCCGCCATGGAAATGGGTTCTGGTTATGGCGACAGCAGTAGCCCTGCTCACATGAATTTGATGCTCACGGATCGGCTGCCTTTCACAGCCACGACCCCGGACCTGAACCTTTTTAACCTACCCAGATGCTCCGCTTCGCCTCTTCTACCAAATTCATCCATCTCCTTCACCAACAACGACCCCAATTCCTCCGTTCCCAAACCCCTTGTGGGCGGCGGAGGGGGGTACGGCTGGGATCTTCCCATCGGCGATGGAGCTCACTCTGCCTCTTCCGTTCACTACGACCCGCTTTCCTACCTCAACCTACCGCCGCAGCCGCCCCTCTTCAGGGAGTTGTTCCAGTACCTCCCCTCCAACGGCTACGCCTCTGGCGGTTCTCCGAGAGGCGGTGGTTCTCTGTTGGGTGGCGGAATCGATCTCCATGGAGAAGGCAGCGTGGGCGGCGGCGCCTCTGGAGGTGGGATTTACGCACACGGGATCGATGGATCGCAGCAGCTGGATAGTAGCGTTCTAGAGTTCAATTGGGACATGGCTTGTCTAGCCAAGGGGAGAGTAGCTGGAAGAATGGCGAAGCCTCTGACAACAGAGCGGCAGAGGAGGCAGCAAGTTAACGACAAGTTTGACACTCTCAGAAATTTGATTCCTAATCCTACCAAGGTAAGCAAATTAACATTGAATTGCAATTTCCTTATACCTTCAATTTCATAGTGAATTTTGTCCGTGACTGTGTCTGTTTGGGTTGGGGGTGTCAAAAAGAGCGACAAAGCTTCAGTAGTGGGAGACGCAATTGGCTACATCAAGGAGCTTTTAAGCACAGTGGAGGAACTGAAATTGCTGGTGGAGAAGAAGAGGTGCAGCAGATGGAGGAACAAGAGGCACAGGACGGATCAAGAGGACGTTAATGGCGGAGAGGGAGCGATGAACGGGACCTCATTGGAGATGAAAGCTTCGTCTGCTGCTGAGGGTGATCAGGTGGACAAATCCTACAATGGGTCGACATTGAGGAGCTCTTGGCTTCAGAGGAAGTCCAAGGACACGGAGATTGATGTGAGGATCATTGAAGATGAGGTGACTATTAAATTGGTTCAGAGGAAGAAGATCAATTGCTTGCTGTTTGTTTCCAAGGTGCTTGATGAGCTGCATTTGGATCTTCACCATGTCGCTGGAGGCCATGTTGGTGATTATTACAGCTTCCTCTTCAATACCAAGGTCCGCCTACTCTTTTCTTGTTGGTTTACAATTAAAGTTCTCCTATTCTGTTTCAGAAGTGACAACGAATATAGAAATCAAGGCTAGTGGAGCCTGCTCAGTTGAACTTGTTCTTGTTGTTATTGTTTTAGCAGATATGTGAGGGGTCTTCAGTGTATGCAAGTGCCATAGCCAACAAGCTGATTGAAGTTGTAGACAAACAGTATGCATCCACTCCATCAATAAGTTGCTACTGATGATCCAGAGGAGCCATTTTCCAACCATTTTTAATTAGGTCAAACTGCTATAAGAATTCATGGTAATGCATCAGGTCAAACTGCTGGGAAAAATGAGGACATAGACATTTGTCGTTGGATTAGCAAGTTTTATGTGTGAGCACATTGCTAATCCCTGACGGGGAATTATATAAAACACTTGATGTTGATGACTTTCCTAATAGATGGGGCCTCACACTAGTTGCATGATAGTACTGTTATAGCTAATGGCTTATCTGTTATACATGTGTGATCGATCGATGGTTTGTGCTGTTCATGGTGCATGGCTCAACCGTAAGGATAGGATAATGTTAATTTATTGGGTCTTATTTTTCTCGATATCTTATTAGCCTCATGTGTTTCGCATTGCATTCCTACTTTACATATTACTTAATGTATATTTTGATAATTTACAATAGTTGTAGGGGTGTAAATGAGCCCTTTGCCTTTGAATTTGTGCTACAAGAACATATAGAAAATAGGGAGGTAGTTAAAAAAAAGAAAAAAAGAGGGAGGTAGAGGTAACAGGTAAGGGTAGAATTAATATTAGAATTATTAAGTACGTATATTACTATATTTAATAATTATGTTTTGAATAAAAAATATTAGTTAATGATGATGACTGTTATGTGTTTTGGGTTTTGATTATTAATTTGGGATTCTTTGTGACTATTATTAGGATTAGTCGCTTATATATTGCAACTACGACATTTGTTTGATTTATCAATCAATCAAATCAATAAATAAAAGATTTTGACACTTTACGTTAATCTCTCGTTTTTGAGTTACAAGCAAAACTTTGGAATCGTGAGTTACGGATCATCAACGTGGTATCGGAGTTTGGATGATCTACGAGAATCGTTTGATCCACGGCTGAGTGTTGTTCCGCGTTAGATGCCACATAGGAGGAGACCAACGAGTCCATTGTGGACTTGAGCAGGTGATACCACCCAAAAATGTGTTATTTATCCTTCATTTATTAGGTATTTCATTGTCATTTTGAGCATGAATTGATTTATAAAACCTCATCCGTAGTCTAGATTGCTTCCTTTTATCATTTCTTGTTAATTTAGGCCACATTCGACGTTACAAGCGAAAAGGGGGAGAAAGCGGGGCTAATGTGTAGGAAAAATAGGTGAAAAGGAGCAAACACAAAGACCGCAGCCTAAGAAGCAGGATCTTGGCCGAGAAAGCAGCCCGCGAAATTAGGATCGCATACCACATCTAGAACATTGTTATGGCGATCTTTCGACCCATGGGTGCGAACTTCATGAGGAAGCGTCTAAGAATGGACAGAGACTTGTGCTAGGCGCATCGCAGCCCACGTTGAAGGAAGCCACGATAAGGTTCATGGCCGCGAGACTAAGTTCGTCGTCGCAAACACAAGGCGCGATCTCTCGCACTCCAAAGACTAAACGACGAAGGTAAAGATCGGGGGCCATCACGACTAGATTACGGCTGTGTTTTTTTACCCCTCAATCGCGATCCTGCCCGAGATTTCCAGGGCTATAAATAGAAGATCTGCTGCACTCGACAAGAGAGCCGACTTTGAGAGAGAAAATTAGGGTTTTGGGCTCTCTTTAGAGAGAGAAACACTTTGGGAGAGGTTAATTGAAGATCATATCCATCCAAGGAACAAGGAGAAGAAGATAGTTTCCATCCTCTCCTTTCTCCTTAATTCGTGTTTTCTTCCTCTCTCTATGACTTGAATCCCTAAGTTTGTGTAGGAAAGATGAACCCTAGTTTGTAGTTTACTGATGGGTCATGTGTATGAATGATTATGAACCTATAATCTATAGGGGTCGTTTGGATGGATCAATCTAGAAATGAGTTAATTTGATTAATTGTCTCGTTTTATAAACGAGGAAATTAAAACGAGTCAATTCGAATTACCTGCCCCACCCCCGGGTAATTGAAATTGACTCAAAACGGATCAATTCAAAATACCCCAGGCAGATTGATTCATCCGATTTTTTTGCTGGCAAAAGAGGCAATTTGGTACAATTGTTTCAAAACGAGAGAATTGTGTCAAATTGATCCGTTATAATTCCTCATCCAAACGACCCCTATGTCTATTTGATGTTTGTGCATAAATCTCTTGGTGAGTGTGATTGATTGTACTTACCTAGTTGAGAAATTCTTTTAGTTTAGGGTTTGCATAGACACCACTTAGTGTGGGATTGTCTGTATCCCATTTGCTTGGTTGTAACTTAGATAATAGGGGAGTATTCATTATGTTATATATGGGTTTTTGGTGTGTTTGAGTTTACCTAGAGTTTTTATGCTTCATCTAGGAATGATTATGCTGAGGATTGTCTCTTCCACTCTTCACTACTAGCCTACAACTGAGTCAAAGAACTATGTGGGAGTTTTAGAGCTAGGCTGGATTTGAGCACCTTATGGTTATTTAGGAGTAGATGAATGATCTAGGAATCTAGTTTGTGGACGAGGTAACTGCACCTACTGCTTATTAGATGTCCACCTATGTATTTCTCGTGGGATAACTTGCGTGACCATCGGCTTGCCCAACTTGTGTGCACACAATTAGAATATGTTTAGAGGAGGTAACACATACCCCTAGTTAGGTAACCCGGTTGAGGTGATGTTGGACCGACTATCCTATTTAGGAGGGGGATTGGTTGCATGACCATTGAATCGTTTCCCGCCTTAGTGACCTTCTGTAACATCCCGTTCCGGCAAAACCCATATTTCTATCGCTAGAAAGTTTGTGATTTAAAATCGAGTATTTTGATAGTATTTCGGCGAAAATCGAAATATCGATCGATCGATCAGATAAGTATACGTATTAATTAAATATATATATAATTAATAAAATAAAAAAGGGGAAAGTTGGCGGTGGAAGCGCCTATTAATTAAACTCCCCCGTCCAATTCCTTCCCATCATTCTCTTCTTTCTTTTCCTTCTCTGGGACCGAGAGAAGCTGAACCAAAACGCGCAGAACAGGGGAGCATCGGAGGAAAATTTCCAAATCTCGAATCTTGAGCCCTAGTGATCCAAAAATCCCGTAAGTAATGCCTAATTCATCTATACATTGTGATTTATCGATTTAGAGCTTTAAAATTTCTAACCCTTGAATTTCGGCAATTATTTAGTTCGGGGTCCAAATCGCTGAATTTAGCTTCGGCCAGGGTTTGATGTGTTTTTATCAAGAATTTGACCCGGAGCCTAGAACTAATATTGACGGGGATACTGCAAGGGATATTAGGACGGTCTCGGATTTTAATTCGGAGTTCGTTCGTGAAATTGACGTTTTAGTACGGGAAGGTTAAACCGGTGTTTGAACGACCAGAACTGGTGAGGGATTAGCACGACATACCGGGTTTGTCGTATCACGATAATTATATTGATTCTTAGAATTGACCTAGGTGAATTAGAATGGCATGATTAGGGGTGTATGGACTTTTATGCTACATGATGAACCATGGATTGTTGTATGATATTATTGGCTTGCCCTAGCCGATATGGACCTTGTTTATGTTGATGATTGCATACATGTTGCCATTTGTGGTTGTTTTTGGATTCACAAGTGGGGGAAATAAACTTCCCAGGGTGATATTATGATGTTTAAAGAGGATGACTTGCACGAGGGTTTATCCCGAGGAAGTGCAATTATATGACTCCTGATTTACCTATGTTGAGCCAATTATGTCCAGGTCAAGTACATGTGCCAGTAATGAATTATGATTAAGCAAGATGAGATATGAATCATGTATAAGGATACCAAATATGAGTGTTGTGGTCTCACGGTCAACTACATAGTAATTAGGGCTCCCTATGCTATTACTCTATTATGCTATGTATGATAGTCACACCTCTCATATGGTGGTGACTGAAGAATTTTTACGAGATATGACTACACCCATAGTGATGTGGGGTATGTATGACCACATCCGACGGGATGTTGGGGTATGTATGACTACATCCGACGGGATGTGGGGTATGTTTCCCGGGAGAGTTATTAGCATGGGAGTAGCCAGGTGCCTATAAGTAAAACATGATAAGATGCATATGCATAAGTCAAGGTGGTTGAGTCTTTTTCCTATTGGGATGTCAGATGCCTGAGGTATGATCCTAGTGCTTTGGCTTGTTCGCTAGATGTATGGTAGGGGTATGCTCTGTTATGAACGCACGATGCTATGATTATCTCACTCAGCTATGAGCTGACCCTCTTTTATTCTTCTTCTCTACTTATGCTATGTGTAAGCAGATCATCATCAGCAGCAGTAGATAACTGTTAGGTGGGAGAGGAGCTAGAGTTGAAGCCAAGATGAGGTATGGTCTTCAACTATTCTGTGCTTGGACTACTACTTGGGATTTTGGCCAGTGATCCACACCTCTTTTTGTAAATATGTTTTGAGAACGTTTTTCATGTGCATACTAGCTTATGATGTAGTGTAGGATATTCACAGGTGTGGAAGGTTGATGATATGTGTATAGTTGTGTAATTGTGTAAGTTGTGATAATTATAACATGTATATGTATGCTATGCAGTTGTGGGTATGAAAACGGTGACTATGGCTATGAAAGCCCATGTATATGGTTTTGAGTATATATGTATGTCTATGAATGCATATATCTGTATAAATTATTTTGCAGGTCTAGTTGCAAGAACTGTTAGCCCATTACGCGAGTAATTCATGTCGAAATTTTAATTGGGTAAATTTTGTAATTAATGTAACACCCGAGATTATTTCCGCTGCAATTGTATGAACAATATGATTAGGCAAAACGTATAGGGTAGGGTGTGACAGTTTGGTATCGGAGCCCGGTTCCCTCTTTTTGCTGTTATGGCGTACTATACCCTATGGGAGGTTAATCACTCCTAAGGAGGGGAGTACCACATAATGACTTACTGGGAATTGAGTTTTACATGATTATGTGTATTGGTATATTGGATTAAATTACCTGCATTATGGTTTTCAAAATTGAGTTTTGAACTTATTAGTTTTCAAGTAATTATTTTTGGAAATTTTTTGTTTTAACCAAGTGAGAGATTTGGTGAAGAATGAATTTTGTGTGGATCAATCTAAGGCCAATATTTCCTTGTAGCTCGCACGGAAGCTGTGATAATGTTCCTACTAACCAGTCGAGAGGAGTGGGGGCGTTTGATGCAAGACCGCTAGTATTAGACTATGCAAAGATGAAGAGTTTGGGTGGTAGGGACTTCAAGGGAGATGTGAGCCCAGATGCTGTAGTAGAGTGGTTGAGAGAGATGGAAGATGTGTTTGAGTATCTTTATGCAACCCCAGAGGAAAAAGTGCAATATGTTTTTTTTCTCCAAAAGGGGTACGCGAGGAGCTGGTGGTCCTCAGTCTCTAGAGTTAATGGTGAACGAGTTCAGTTCACTTGGGAGGAGTTCCTGAAGGCCTTTAAGACAGAGTTTCTTCCCAAAGCTTTTATCAGGGCAAAGAACAATGAATTCGCCAACCTTAACCAGGAGAATATGACAGTTACTGAGTACACCATCAAGTTTGTTCGACTACTTTACTTTGAAGATGGGTTGGCGGATACTGAGCATAAGAAGAAGATGAGATACTTGCATGGTCTGCGCCTAGGATTGAAAGAAAAGATCCACAGGGTTGATGAAGAGAGCATGGCCACTATCAAGGAGGCAACACTTAAGTATAAAGCCGATGAAGTTGAGGGTAGAGAGGAAAACAAGGCCAAAGAAGAGGAGAAGAAGAGGAAGTTTAGAGTGAGTTATGTTGGACCTCGTTACCCACCCAGGAGAGGTCCTCCCAGTTTTGGGAGAACACCGAGTCAATCTATGTCGGGAACATCATACAGGGCACCAATTTCCTCAGCCACACAATTTCCATTTTGTCAAGTGTGTCAGAAGAGGCATCTTGGAGAGTGTAGGAGATTTTCTGGTGTATGCTTTCACTGTGGCCAACCTGGGCACATCATGAGGGACTGTCCGCATTCGAGAGAAGTAAGAGCTACACAGTCCGAGCCTTCAGTGCAATTTAGTAGAGCCCCATTCAGGGGTGGATACCAGGGAGGCCATAGTGGATTTCAGAGTGGTCGTGGTGGTTCACAGGGTGGTAGAGGTGGTGGTCGAAATCAGCCATTAGGAAGTCGTACCCAGGGTATCAGAGCACAGAGAGCACCAAGGGTTTATGAAATGACTCGAGGTGAGGCAGAAGTGGCACCAGAAGTTGTGACTGGTATGCTTTCTATCCTTTGCAAGAAATTATATGCTTTGATCAATACTGGTTCCTCTCACTCATTCATGTCATATACGTTTGCACATATGCTACGCTTAGTTCCAGATAAGCTAGGTTATACCTTATGTGTTAAAACACATGTGGGAGATACCTTCAAGGTAGACTCAATTATTAGAAGTTCCTTCATTTGTGTGGAAGGAGCTTTCCTAGAAGCAGATTTAATTCTGCTACCTTTTGATGAATTTGATGTCATCCTTGGAATGGACTTTCTGGCAACACATGGAGCTGTTGTGGATTTTCAAAAGAAAGAAGTGTTATTCAACACACCAGATAAAGGT